GAAGAGAAGAGAGGTGTCAGTGTTTTACTCACTTATATCTATTCAGTTTGACAGAATCATGCAGCCTGACCTTTGACCTCCCTCACACTGAATCCCCTCAGTGGAGACGAACAAAAAATCTTTGACAGATGCGTGTGTGTGAGAGAGAGAGAGGTGTAAAGAGGGGTGTAGGGTTGGAGGGAGTAAAGGAAAGATATTTGACAGAATAAGAGCAGACACCGGGAGCAGCTGATGAACAGACGCCTGCTGCATTTCTGAGTGGCGGCACTTGCTGAAAGATAAGGAATAAATGGTAAAAGGAGAAATGGAAGTTTCAGGGGAAGAGTCAGGGGAAGGTGTGGTGATTTAGATCTATCTTCATTATTGAAATGAAATTAAACAGTTGCTACACTGTGCAGTAGCCTATACCCTGAGTGACCTTTGTCTTAATGCACTGTAATCCAGTTAACTGTTAAAGCACTACCTTAATTTATTAACATTTATTTACACTCTATGATGTGTCCAGTGCTTCCACATTTAAAAAGCATTATCAGTCTCGAGGGTTTTATAGGCTTTTAGAAATATTCTTACAAAATTCATGCAAATATATAACATTTAGAAAAGCCAAGGTGACTTTGAGGATTAAAATAGTGCCCATCTGGTGTAGCCACCCCACAACGGTGGTCCTCACTGGGTCACAGTTTGTTGAAAACCCCTGCATTAGCTCACCATCTGTAGTTTACCAACTAGCCATCTGAGTAGTGTAATGCTTGTTTCTGTAAACCGTATTAATTTGAAGGCTGTCTTTTATTTTATTGTCCAAAACTGGTGCCAAAGCTTTTCTGGATATTTAGTGGTCAAATTCTAACAACTCAACTCAACAACTCAACTCAACTTTATGTATATAGCGCTTTACCACAGCAGAGCTGACCAAAACACTTAACATATCATACAAATATAAAAAACCACACATAAAAAGCTATAAACAGTAATATAAACACTAACACTACAGACAGAGTCTCATTCCTGGTCAAACGCCAATGAATACAAGTATGTTTTCAGATAAGACTTAAAAGTAGACAGTGAGGGGGCCTGCCTAATATGACGTAAAAGTTCCACCAGATAAGATGGTGCCAGCCCATTTAAGGATTTATAAAAAAATAAAAGAATCTTAAAACGAACCCTAAAACGCACCGGAAGCCAGTGGAGAGATGCCAGCACTGGCGTTATGTGGTCCCTCTTACGCCCCCCAACCAATAACCGAGCGGCAGCATTCTGGACCTTCTGGAGGCGGGCAAGACCCGATTGACCAACTCCAGCGTACAGTGCATTACAGTAATCCAAAGTGAATCTTTGCATATTGCTATTAACCTTCAGAAACCCATGGGTAGGAATCATATTCAATCACGCTAAATATGGGGCGCCGAATGTAAAAATATTACTTACACTAGTTTTCTCACATTTAGCTAAATGTGACAAAGTCTAAATGTAAATGTTAAATAGAAATGTAAATATTAAATGTAAATGTAAATGTTAAATGTCTCGCCAAGTGTAAAACTGAATATTTAGTAGCTCCACAGCCTTGCCCTATTAAGTTCATATGGCAAAGTTCCTGGCTGAATTACTTGAATGCACACTTCCAGATTAGCGCACTCCTTTGTTCGAGGTAAGCGCGCTTTAAATAGACGTAGACCTCCAATATTTTACTGCATTAATTTATGATCAGATGCTCAAGTCTAGTGCCGATACTCAGGTTTTATTAACGGATTAAAAGGTGCTGGCTGCCTGCTCACCGGTCTGTGCATTGGGTATCTCAACAGGAGGCTGACGCGTATGACCGACAGTTGCTGTGCCCTAGGATATTAGTACTTCATTAATACGAATCTTTGCGGGTTCAGGTTTTAAAACGCTGCTGGTACAGTGCTCTGCGTTGTGCGCACACTGGTTCAAACAGTGACAAGATGCGTATCCTGCGTGTTGCTACGGATTAATGCGCGTTATTTGCGTCTTGACGCTCACGGAAAATCACTGTAGGACTCTTACAATATCGGGTTATGTTTTTTATCTCTGGTCCTCATGATGAGTTTGTAATGACCGTGTCTTACTTTGCGGTGTCTTCTATCTCACGCACTCTCGCATTTTGTTGCTTCCATAAGTATTATTTGGAATATGTTTAAGAGGATTCGGTCAAAACCATTTAGGGTGATCATAGACACCGCGGAGACTTCGCTTATATTGTGCTGCGAGCAAGTGGCGTCTCACAAGAAGTGGCGGAGACTCAACGGATGCTCTTAAATGGGTCAGTGTGCCCCACACACACAAGCACTCACACAGTCGTGTTTCTATTACTCCAAACGGACCTGCGTACATTTCTTGGAGACCCACCCTAACCTTTGCCCTAAGGCCATCCCTCTCAGCTGAATTTTTATAGTCATGAGGTCATTAACACATCACATTCCCAAATCCCCCCCAATCTTAACCTTAACCACCACCACAAATGACATAACGAGAACCTAAACACAATTATAGCTAAGTTTTTTCCAGTGAACAGCTCTTTGAGGTTGTCAGGTGTGGACAAAATGTCTTCTCTATGCAGAAATGTCCTCACCAGGATGGTTGTGAACACACAAACCCAGGAAATGTGCACACGCACTGCACCTGTTCTGTACTTCCATGCCTGAGGATTTTTTAATGTTCACTTCTACATGGATTGATGGATAAATCTGCTGTGAAATAACTGGATTTTACAGAAAAAGATTTTTTTTTTTGTAGCAAAACTGTTCTCGTTCTCTTTTTGAAAGGTTTTCTGTGGGACCACTGTTGTGTCATATAATTGTACCCTCAGTGCTGAAAGGACTGGTTACCAAATGGTGAACTGACAGATGATTATTTGGTGCATTTGGCGCTAGGGTAAACATTCAGGATTCAGATTTGGGTCAGATGTGGAGTTCTTCCTTCTGGGTTTATTAACATCTAAAGCTAATTTCCTTTGGTAACATTAATACCATACCATACCAACTTTATTTATAAAGCACTAAAAACAACCAGAGTGGACCAAAGTGCTGTACATTGCAATAAAACAGTATAAATTATAAACCACAAATAACAATATAAAATATAATCAATCAGATGACTAAAATTAATGACCTAGCATGGTCACGACTGACCTTTGTATTGATGTGACTTTAATTCAGGAGTGTGTGCAGTGTTAGTAGTAACCAGAACATTCTGCTGGACTGACAAATTACTCGTCAGCTAACACTAGCTTTGGATTTGGGGCTGCATTTTGTACAGTTTGTCCCAACCAGGCATCCATAGTTTGTCATCGCTAGGAAACGGCATGACAGGAGGTGCAAAGAGAGGTTAGGATTGGCTTGTGGTGTCTGTTTTGAGTCTCCCTAGACCCTCTAGGCTAAACAGACATTAGACAGGTATTTTTTTTCTAGCATCTCTGCTTCCTGATTAGTGATGTTGTTGTGTAATAGTGTGACATTTGTCTGACTCCACTGATGAAAATGTTTCAGAAAGGAAATGCACTTCATCTCGGTGTGTGTGTGTGTGTGTGTGTGTGTGTGTGTGTGTGTAATTTTGTCCTTGTTTAAAACAGGACCTGTCGAGCACCACAACGTGCCAGCTCTGAATGAAAAACAGTTTTAGACTGAATCTCATCACATACACACACCAGACCTAATCCACAACCACCACAGGATTGTTAATCCATCATCTCAATTTGCCTAACACACACATACTGTGTGTGTGTGAGTCAAGTATTAAAGATCCTCTCAGAAATGTGTCAGAGGATCTTCTGGGAAAATGAAAGGATGACCTGCTCTGTTCGGCTTTACAGGGGACAAACATTAGAGTTCGACTGTTACATAAAGCCCGATTTCTACCTCCATCATAAATCTGTTGAACAGTTACGCTGCTGACTGCACACAGCCCAGTGGGTGGCACGTTGTTAGAAACCAGGACAGTTTTGTCATAAAATTTCTTTAAAACACAAATGTTGTCATTTAAAAATGTTTAGTTTATAATCACAGTGATGATATGGGAAAAGTAAGTTTTGCTCATTAGTAAGAGACTGGGCCATAATAATTGCCTGTAAATACATGATTTGTCTCCAACTACCATCAGAACACAAGCTTTTGTCTGTCCCTTAATTGGTTAATAGCCTGGTTGTGGAGAGATAAATCTGAGGGGTCATATGCATCAGTCAGACTGGAAACAAGAAAAACACATTTTTCCTACACAAAACTGTGCCACATTTCCTGTTTGTTTTCTGACTTCTTACCTCTTTTACCAGTCTTCAGATTAATATTGCTGTGTTATAAATCCAAGTTTAATGGGCAGTGCTCTGTAGTTTAATTCTTATACAACCAGTTCAGTAATCATGAAACTATCTTGATGACATGAACGCTCACAGGTTGTTTTCCGTCTCTAGCTTCCATACCATATGATGTGACTGAGGCATTGTGAAAGTCTAGTTTTGCATTAGGGGAAATGTAGGATTGAGCGTTTCGGGGTGTTTGGCTCATGCTGACAAACTAGAAGTCAGGATATGTCGGACTCTGCTGCTTCAGTTTTGATGATTCTTTTTTTTAACTGTGTGAGAGCACAAATAATGTCACACGATGCTTTTCTTTCATCAGGGTTATTTTTTTCCCTGCATCTTTTTTTTGTCTGCTGCCACATTTCTTCCTTCAAGCTCTTGCTCCTTGTTACCCGTGTACCATCCACTCACGTACAGTACAGTCTGTTCCTTCTGCCAGGCCTCCTCTTGCTACTCTCTCCTCCCTTCATTCTTGGCAGCCTTTAAGTGAGGCTTTATTCCAGGTAGGCAACCTGCTTTTTAAGCAGTGTTCGGTTTTCAAGGAGAAAACTAAAAGTTCAGCTTCGCTGTCAAGGCCTGGGTGTGGGTTTGAAGAAATCAAAAGAAGTGGATTTAAAAAGACTAAAGTCTGAGAAAATGCACAGAATTTGAGGAGCTGGACTGTGACAGCAGAAAATATTTAGTATATGATGACATACTGTGGGGCGGTGGCTAGCGGTGTTGCCTCACAGCCAGGAGGTTCCAGGTTTGAGCCCCAGCTGACCCGGGGCCTTTCTGTGTTGAGTCTGCATGTTCTCCCTGTGCCTGCGTGGGTTCTCTTTGGTTACTCCGGCTTCCTCCCACAGGCCAAAGACATGCAGCTTAGTTTGACTAGTGACTCTAAATTGCCCGTAGGAGTGAGTGTGGGTGTGTTGTCTACAGTATGTATCAGCCCTGTGATAGGCTGGTGACCTGTCCAGGGTGGACGCTGCCTCTCACCCACTGTCAGCTGGAATTGGCTCCAGCCCCTCCACAACCCTGTTCAGGAATAAGAGGTATAAATAATGGATGGAAAATAGGGACCAATTACTAGAATTTCAATTGAGCATAAAACAAAAAAGCAGTGTTAATTGTTCTCCACAAATCTTGTTTGTTTTCTGTTCCTACTCTATGTCAATTGTCAACAGATTTAACTCTTTTTTTGAAATGAGTTTTCTGCTCATCCTTCACTTGACCTGATGTATTCAGAGCTGAACTTGGTGAATGAATTTACAGTGAACACTCTGTCACTGCAGCAAAGGTTTACACTTGAAGGCTAGATATGATGCATTTTGGGGTGAACAGCACACTTTAGTGCTGCTGCAGCTTTATTCTGCTTCCCGTTGGCTGACTGTAGTAGTGAGTCCTAAAGCCCAGAACTGAGTTGGCATTTTTGCACCTCCGCTTCCTTTGCCCTGAGGTCTGTGGGTCTTTGGTTCACTTGTGAAGATTGTCTTGCTGAACTGTTTGTCAAAATGCTTATGCAATAATGCAAAGGTTTATGGAAAAATCCCATAAGTTCTGGGTTGGCCTACAAAAGAACACATCCCTACAGCGCTATATAGTGGTGAATTTTTTCCCCCTCTTTTCTTTTACTTAAACATAAATAACTGTACAGGTATATTAGTTACCTTCTGCAGTCCTGAGAGAAGCTGACAAAGGGAAGTTATTCCTATGGATACTGAGCCAGTGCAGCAATGTGCACGTCAGTCTTGGCAGCACATCATATTAGAGACATTTTAAGGTGGTTTCCCATTATGGGAACCTACTGAAACAGCAGGATTACACACACTTTAATATACATGAATAAAACTGTTGTTCGCTCCATGAGCGGAGCATAGATGGATTGCTCAGTGGTGACCAGAAGACCCTGTGAGTTTCACGAAGACGGGTTTTCCCAAATATATAGTGTATGTTGCTTGGTGTCCCAGTATCCCCAGTTAACTCAGTGGAAAGTCCCTTTAGACAAGGTGTCAGTCAAACACAAATGCTAATCACTGAGGTTTTTTCCTGCTTGGCAGGGTAGTGACCATGTTGATGGAGCCTGTTATCAAAGCCTCCTTTCCCTTCATGACAAACAGCTGTGCCTCCTCTAAATGTGCCAAACACAAAGAGCGACCAAATTTCCCATTATCCACAGCTATTTGTGATCAAGTGCTGACCACTATGGCTGACTGATGAAGCCCATCTGGAAGTCCCTGAAGATGTCCTCTACTGGCTGCTACATACCAGCTCCAAGAAAACTGTCTTCTAGTTTTATAATAAACTTCTTTTAATACTACAAGTAACAGGTATAGTGGCCCACTTCTGCCTCCTGTAAAATTTAAATACATAAACAAAAAAAGAGCACAAGTGTTTTGCAGATGTAATAAGTTTTCTGATGTTGTGTCCAGGGTGGACCCTGCCTCTTGCCCACTGTCAGCTGAGACTGGCTCCAGCCACCCATGATCCTCGTTAGGATAAGCAGTGGAGATAATGGATGGGTTGGGATGGACGGTGTGAAATATGATACTAAATCAAAAACTATAATTTTAAGAGAGTTTCCTCCTCATGTAATATGCTAAAAACCTACTGAGGCAGTTGATTTTATTTGGTGGGACTGGGCTTCCCTGGTAGTCATGGCCTGTATTTATGTGTAGATCCTGAATATACATTTGAGAGTGGTGGTGACTGAAAGGTTGCTGGCGCTTGTCGTTTGTATAATTGTGCTTTAAAAGGAGCTTTTCCTGGATGCACTGTGTATTTACCATCTGATGGTGTAATCACAAGGGGGCAGTGTGCAACATACAGCCAAGTGCAGCTCACCGGTTAACTGATACCAGCATGAGGTGCAGCGAGTGAGGAGGTGATGGACCGATTCCTCGAGTGCCTCTCTGACTTAAAGAACATTAAACTTACAGTCCTGCTGCATTACCTTTATTACTGACCCTGCAAATGAAATGGGATAAGCGACAGCCTTGCACTCAGTGTGTAAAAATGGAATTTCTGCAGCTGATGACTGTGAAAATATCTCCTGAGGTGGCAGTGAAGATTCTGCATGAAGCACAGGAGGATTCCTGAATAGAGGCTGAGGGGTTTCACATGGCAGTTTGTCACTGTGGGATTTGATGGTGAGACTCTCCAGTCAGTAGAGAGGGAGGACATCTCTGGGAAGCACGGGCTCTTTGTCTCTTCTAATCGCAGTGTTTGGTTTGAGACTTTTGTTGCATGACATATCCTGAAAAAAAAAAACAAATGTCCCAAAAGACCCAAGCTTTAGGTTAAGGGAAGGTGTGGGGGTGGACATGAAGTTAGGATGCTAACTGATAGACGGACAGGGAAAAAAGACAAAATGCGTTACAAAATTTAATCTGCAATGTTGAACAAATCAATGAAAATGAATGTACATTATAATAGCATGCGCTTATGATACCATCCACCAAGATGGCAGGTTTCCCTGTCAGCTCGACTGTCCGTCACCAGGCACTTAAAGAACATAGTTTCACTGATTAGATATTTTAAACATTATCATTAAAGCTGCAGCTCCAATTTGAGCCCAACACGTCTATGACTGAGACTCTGAGAGACCTTTGGAGCTGGTGGAGGTTTATGCTTTCGCGTCAATGCTTTCAGTCAGTTCTCTAGCTCATGTTGAGAAAAAGGAAAGTTGGTGGTAGGGAAAAGCCAAATAATATGATGCAGATTCGGTGGGAATATCTCGACATTGTTCAGTAGATTCACTGTAAACAGTGGGAGACTTGATGGAGAGGGGCAGATTTCATTTTGAAGGAAATGATGCTAGATTTCTGTGCCAGTACAGCATGCATGTTAACGCTGTGCAAATATGCTTTTGGTTGCTGTTTGATTCCAGAAGGCTCTTTGATATGAATAGCAATGAGATCCTCTGGATGCGCTCTGCATTCAGAAAGAGGATACCCCATGCCGTTCGCATGCACACTACTTGTAGAGTGTCTCATTGGCAGCCCCACATTCACAGTCATTCGCAGATACAATTATTGCATCCATATGCACATGTACTATACATTTGTTACTTTAGAGAAATGTAATGAAACCAGGCAAAATAGTATAACAATCTGCAGTATATTGTTCATTAGAGGATACACAACAATGTTTAAAGTAGGTTAGCTTCACTCTGAGAGTTGTACTGTACATGTAAGTGTGACAGAGCCTTTATGTAAGTTACGATCTTTGTGTAACTCATTAGTAAATGACTCCTTTATATATCACGACAAAACGCACAGGCACAGCTCTTTGTTCTTAGGTTGTGAACCACTAATCTAATCTGTTGTGACCTGATTTGACTCTATCTTTTTTTTTTGCTATTAGTGTGCATTTAAATGTTTTATCTACTTGTGTGTATTGTGTTAATCACTTTGCCTTTGTCTATGAAAATATGCCAATCAAATAAACTTGCCTTGTCTATCTTATCTGATATTTTTTGCAAACACTTCCATCCTGTTGTGTTTCTCTCTTGCCCTGCCTGTGCTGCTTTTCCTTCTTCAGCATTAAATTGCATCTTCTGTTTTTGTGTGCTTCTCTGTGCACACAGAGATCAGACTTTCCAGCTAGGTTCCTTATTTGACATGAATTTTAAACAAGAACAAATTGCTGTAGACAGATAAGAAAAACTTCAAAAGATGGATGAGATGCCTGAAAGGAAAATGTCAGAGCTAAAACGTCCCGCTGTGTGTGACGGGAAAGACAAGACATCCCCCACTTCTCATTTTCCTCACCCTGCCATCTCTTAACCTCGTCCTGCTCTCGCTATCAAAGATATGTTCAATCATAGCCACCGTGACTTTCTCCTCTCCACACTATAATATTCCTCTAAAGGTCACAGCAGTTGTCTGCCGGAGTAAAACAAAAAGAAAATGTGTCATCTGGTGAAAAACAAGGATAAAACGCTTTTCTTTTGCTGTGACCACAGATCGTCCTGGTTCGTATCTGACTGTAGACATCATGTTTCTCTCCAGGTGAAAGACTGGTGTGTTTGTTGCTGTACAGTGATGATGACAGTGGAGTAAAGGTTCTGGGCACTTTGAGCTTCAGGATGCATCTGAGAATATGGCTGATGTGTTTGATTTTTAAAAAATGAGCAGCTTAATGAAATAGTGAAGGTGAGTTGATGTCAGAAAAGCAAGTTTGTGATGGGAAATTCATCAAACAAGTCCAAGTGATGTATTATCATGATTATCTGTGCTTCAGTCCTGTGTATTCATTGCTGTCAAAACTTCAATGCAAATTACCTCCCCTATACCGATGAAAGCAGAGTAGAGACCCCCTGGTGGCAGTAATCTTCTGCACACTGAACTCTCTGTAATGAGAACTGTAATGTGTTTTCCACATGGGGATTCCTCGTCTCCTGATATACAGTATATTTTAATATTAAGATTAAAGTCTGTAGCAGAGCAATCTAAAGGCTGGAATGAATTTTTGATGCAGATTTGAAGTGTTGCTTTACTAAATTCTCACATGCAAGGTCTATTTTAGTGTGTGTAGGTCAGAGCTGTTGCAGCAGGAAGATGTTATGCTTCTTCATGCAACTTGCTCTAGGTCTTTAATCTTTATAAGCCATGTTTCAGAAGTTTCAAGTGTTAAACTGATTGGTAACAAGGTGTGTGTAACTGTTCTGTGGTGGTGTTTGTATAGTGCAATACAAGGCACTATAATTAAGAAGACACACGCAATGGAGAGACGCATCATTTCATTCATTTTCTACCGCTTAATGCCTGAACGGGGTCACGAGGGGGGGGGACCGGAGCCAATCCCGGCTGGCAATCGGGTGAAGGCAGGGTACACCCTGGACAGGTCGCCAATCCATCGCAGGGCTAACACATAGACAAACAACCACACACACGCACTCCTATGGGCAATTTAGAGACACCAATCAACCTAAGATGCATGTCTTTGGACTGTGGAAGGAAGCCGGAGTACCCGGAGAGAACCCACGCAAGCACAGGGAGAACATGAAAACTCCACACAGAAAGGTCCTGAACCCTGAACCTTCTCACTGTGAGGCAACGGTGCTAACCACTGCGTCACGCATCATTTCATAACATTTTAATGAAACGGGTGCATGGATGGAAAAGAAGCAGATACTACACTGCAAAATACGAGTGTAACATTGGTGTATTTTTATACTCGAACATGTTCATCTTTAAATATCACTCCACTCATTTTAATGCTCGCAGTTTAAAATGCAGCAATTTACATTTAGGTTGCATTTAGGTGATGCTAATGCAATCAAACAGTGTAGAGTGAAGGCAACCAGGAGGGAACTGAGCTCAGTTATCTGTTGTTATATACTCACCACTCATTTCTGAGCTGATTTCAATTTCTTTATGATAAAATTAGTCATTCATTTCATTTGATCTCTTGTCAAGGTAATGACCTCATTATTACTGGGAGCTTCCAAATAGCCACCAGCATAGATGAAAGCTGAAGCATCTGATCTTATGTTCATTCATTTTTGTTAAAGGTGTTAAATGTCAGTTCTCATGTTGCACTGTGAGAGAGAACAACAACAACAGCAGAATCTGTTGTTTCAGCCAGTTCCTCTATAGGCTGTACTAACGACGAGCAAAGCAAGAAGTCGGGTGATGTTGCAGAGTGACAAAGTGGGACGTAGTCTGGATGGACGTGTGGGTCGGCAAGACGCCTGTTTCCACTCACCGGTCCACATTTTATGACTGTGACTGTTCAGTAATCCTGATCATGTTATGTATTCATATGCGCAGTAACATTCAGTTCAATTCAGTTTTATTTGTATGGTGTCAAATCACAGCAAAGGTTGTCTTAGGGGGCCTGGAGCCAATCCCAGCTGGGTGAGAGGCGGGGTCCACGTGTGTAAACTGTACATATTTGTTTAGTGTTGACAGAACTGTCCAAGTGTAGTAAGCTACTTTTTCAATGATGCATAACAAAGCTTTCTGGTGACACAGTGTCGTTGATAATGACCATTATGTTTTCGTGTTACCTCCCTGCAGCGTCGGAGCCAACCTCATCTCGGGCTGAGGCCTCCCACCGAATGGCGGGTAGGTGAACAACGAGGCCTCCAGCCTAAACAAGCACACACACATAGGTTGCTTGTCCCTTACCCTCTTGTCATGGCCCACAGGAGCATCTTTGGATATTGCAGCTTTATGGCAGCAGCTGAACCAAACCTTTGCCGTCATGGTTCTAATAATAAACATGCGATTACAGTTGGGTTAGATTTAGGCACAAAAAACCTTCTTAGGTTTAGGGATATATCATGGGTTTGGTTAAAAAGGTAATTCTTGTTGTTATGCCACCCGTCTGTCCTGAGGTCACTTAATAAAGCATAGTTATGTGTTGTAACAAGCTGCTTGCACAAATCTATATTAGCGTTTTTTAGGGATGACACTCTTTTAAATGATTCATTGTTTCTGTTGTGTGTCTTTGTGTTCTTCCTGCTCAGAGGACAGGGCGTTCTCACACCACAGAGCGCTGAAGCTCTGAGGAAGGTGAATTGGTGCCAGAACATTAGCTCATGGAAAAAAAAAAGGCTGCACTGCATAACGGTTGGGAGTGCTCCTGTACTACTGCAGTAAATTTGTATGTATTAAGGGTTTGGTTGTTCCAAAGGGAGACTGTTGGCAGAGAGACACCTGATATGTAAGGTCACTCCCTGCCAACCACACAGGAGAATGAATCAGAAACTGTGTGTGTGTAGCAAGGGCAGCGCTGAACATCTTAGATGGTTGTAACAGGCGCTTACACACACACACACACACACACACACACACACACACACACACACTCCATAGGCCGAGGACTGAACACCGAAGCCACTGCTTCGACCTTCTCTCTCCCCCACCCCACCCGTTCAATGTCTCGGCATCCTTCTCTTTTTATCTTTCGCTCTGGTTTTAGAAAACCTTCATTAGCTGAAAAGAACCTTTTGAACCATTTCTCATCAGTCTGTACAGTCTGAATATAATAACCCAGCTACCTGAGCATATTAATTGGCTGCCTGCTTCTCTTTCTGTTTCCTGCGTCTCCCAGCTGATCAAAGTCTGTCTGAGAATGCAGCCAAACATCTTTCATTTCATAGTCTGTCCTAACTCGTTCTGTCAGTCTGGTGAGTATTAAACCTGTGGGTTCACTTGATATTGAGAGTTTAGAGGTGTTCATTTGCACTTACCTCATCCAGGATCAAAGCAGGGGAAAGACACCCTGCATTGATTATTTTAGAAGCATGATGTTGGCACTGGCCAAGTCGTCTGAAACCCAGACGTGCTACCAACACCAGGAGGTAGGAGATTATCCTTTAGTGCTGGTGTTCTCAGTTTTATTAAATGGAGTGCAGCCTGGGCTGTACCTGGTGCCTGTATGGTGTCAGGTGCATAGATATGTTTGTTTTTCTTATTATTGAACCCATAAAAATAATAAATTGATCATACCAACAATTATTGTCTGTTCCAAAGCTGGATATATCTTATTCCTCTCTGCCATGGAGCTCCACTGTGTATTATGGGTGTCCAATTATTACTGTGAACACTTTGTGTAGTTTATTTTGACTGAATCCAGTAAACACAGGCCTGAAGTACTCCCTAAAGCACCAAATGTGTATTAATCCACTGCTGAAAATAGTCCCTAACTAAAGCACGTTATACTCCTGTTTGGATTTTGTTTGTTCAAAACCACAGTGGCCAACTCTTTTAGAAAATAATTTTGCTCTTTTTAAAGTAAATTTTCTTGACTTTTTCTTTTTTTAATATATTTACGTCCTCAAAAACTGCGTGCACAAACACGTCAAATTAATTTAGAGACGAGCCACCACATTGCTGGTTTAGGTCTTTTCATGAAATTTGTTGACAATATAAGATGCAGTATTTTCCTTTAAAAGAGAAACATGAGAATAATAATCAGGAGCTACCAGAGTTGTGAGCTGGACACAGTGGAAAACTTACAATGTGTGTGGGTTTGTGTTGGAAGAGCAAGAGTGTAGGTTGGACATTTGTGCTGTTATGTAATGTTTAGAACTTAATCTTTCTATGATGGATGATACAGAAGAGCTACTGTTCAGGAAAGTCTCCGGGTGATAAACTCAAACCAGCAGAGGAGGACAAACCACTACAAATCCCTAAACCAGAGCAGCAGCAGAGACAAACAGTTTCATGGGAAAAGATCAATTTCACACTAATGTCCTGGGTCAAAATCATAAGACTCTAGCTTGGGGTGTAGTGTTGATAAGAGCGGAACATGTGTAAAAAATATCAAGACAGCAACAGCTGGCTGCTCCTTTGTCTGTTATCCACAGGAACTACTTTTCTAAGTGAGCATGTTTCAATGTGACCAAAGTACTACAAGCTGTATTTGGATGTTCCTTGGATTGTCACTAGTTCCTTAATTCAGTTTTTGTGAAAATGAAACTATAAACATGCTGCACTTTCTACATTTATTGCTTTCTTTAAAGTATTTATTAGAATTCTAGCTAATTTAAAGCATAACTGTCTGCCTAACTTTAAAGTCTGCTCACATCTTCATAGGTACTGTCACTGTTCCTGCCTGATTCGGACTGTCCATGAGGCAAATACTCGCCGAGCAGCATTAAGTTTGGATCTCATCATTCAGAAGACACCGAAACATGTTGTTTTACACTAAAGTGGATTATCTTTATTTTTAGAGTAGCAGCAAATCAATGTTTCAATAACATAATACATGAAGAAATGATCAGTTACTAAATATGATGGATTATATGTTGTATTTTCACTAAACAATATGATAATGTTATTTACATTTAATACACGTAAAGACATATCATTGCCATTCGTAGCCTTTACAATCATCAGGCTGCTGGTCGAACAGTAAATATACAGTCACTGAGCTGCACTCTGGCCTGATTTGCTCATGCTCTGCCTCGTGGTGAATGACGTGCTCCAGAAGTCTTTTCATGCTAGAGCAGGGTCAGTTGTCTAGAAATTACATAAACTTTGACCAGGTTTTGTAACAACAGCCTCTCAGGGCTCTTGGCCAACATATTGTGCAGACAGGGTGAGAGTTATGGGATGTCTCATGCACTGTCAGTCCATACAGGGTCAGGTAAAGCTGTGACCTGAAGCTGAAGGTTATTCCCACTAAACATAGTCTGAGAGATGTACCATATTTGGGGGTTTTAAGGTGGAAATCTTTGCAGTGTGTATGTACTCCTGACCTAATCTGTGTTGGAAGAATATGTCCACTACTTTTGGAGATAGTTATTGTTATGCTAGTCAAAGTTCCTTTGTAGTGAAAGGTTCATTTACCTGGTTAAATCTGTGCTGAGCTGCTTGGCTTCCAGACATCGCCTCTCTGAACATGACAGATTTTTACATATCATAAAGTTGACGGAGCAGCTGATAACAGTACAACACAGGTTTAAACATTTAATAGTATTTTAAAATTTAAATCAGAATTGGCAAAGCTGATCTAAGTGACTATAGGCTCTTCGATTTGCTTTCTTGTGAACTGGCTCTTTGTCCCATCAGCCTTGTTATCAACTTATCCAGGCTTTGAAAAAGCTTCACAAATTTTCATAGTGTACAAATCTACTAGTACAAATAGGAAGCAGGAAGCAGCCGCTATTTAATTTTGTCCTGCTGTTGTATTTCCTCACCATAGCACCAAATGTGTTATTGTCTATATGTATTAATCCACCACTGACTGAGTCCTTGTAACACTCAGACAGGATTACTTCATATCTGGGCGGCGTGTGTGTGTGTGTATGTGTGGATGTCCTGCCAGTAGCTGCAGTCTGAAAAAACAACCTTGTGACTTTCCCTGCCACCGCCCTCACTGTTTCCCCCTCATAATTCCTTAAAAGCACACTGAGCTGATGACCTTTACCACAATCTGTTCTTTCTTTTCAGTTAGTCTCTGCACTGCTCCATAAATGATTCATCGAGCCTGGGCCTGTATTAATAACTAATACGGGTAAGTGGTGTGAGGGAACAGCTAGTTTGCTGGCACAGCAGACAGTCAGAAAGCTCTGAGATTACGTTGGTCACACTGGGACCAAATGTCCACTCCCACAGCAGGAGGCCATCTGATCGAGAGGAGAAGTGGACCAGTTCTACTGGTATTATGTAGTTAGCTTGTAAATGATATTGGTCATTACGTGCCTTTTGGTTTTGGTACAGGTTCATGGTTTTCTACAGCCCCATTTGTTGTCTTGTGTAGGGAGACCCTTCGAGTAAAACGAAGCTGTATTCAGGAGAATTTGTGAAATATGAGTTTATCTCTTGATCCTCTGGCTGGATCAGACAAACGGCTCTCAACCTCCAGGATTTAATCGGTTAAATCCCTCCTTTTAGTGGATATGTTTTAAGAGGATTCACTCTGTTTTTATGGCATCAGAGAAGAGACATTTTCTTTTTTTTTTATTTCAGCAACACATTTGGCTCTGTCTTTCTGTAAACATATCTTCAAGCCTGATTACACACAAATAGGTGTGAACACACCTGGACTAAAAGGAACACATGCTCACATTTCCTCGGCCAGAAAGAAAGTACAGCATCAAAGTGGCCTTTCCCTCTGGTTTCTGTGTCAGAGAGAAACTGGTTGACTAATGGAACTGCTCTTACCATTAAATCCCTGCCAGTGCTCAAATGGAGGAGATCAGAGCTGAGTGAATGCCCTCCCTGACAGCAGCACATGGAAGTGGGCACTGCACTTTCAGTTGTTCTCACCTGTAAAAGAGAGCAGGAGTTTGTAAACTTTTGCTTGTGGCTTTTTGTTCCTTCTCATCAACATAAAAATTCTATTGATTCTTCCTAAATCATCTATCTTCATTTCTCTGTTGTGTGAAGTTCAAGAGTTTGGATGCGAAGAGAATTGAATCAACAGTCTGTTCGCTCTCCATGATTCCTTAATGCAAGCAGAGAGGACATATTTGTTTACTGTCCCATCTCCTGAATGCTGTGACAAACCCTGCTATGCTTGGTCAGGAGAGCTTGCCTTGTCTCTCATATTCCAATTATTCCTCTTCGAGCAGAGACTGTAAGATCGGAGCTCTCTGAGGTCTGGCTCGTGTACACCTCTCTGTTCAGCACCAGGTTGTCGTCTGACTTGCAAAGGGAAGCACTTTATTCTGCTCCATCGGCTCTCTCTGTATTTAAAGCTTCGACTTTAATTAGCCTGTGTGCGCCGCCCACATTAAATGCATATGACCACCATTACTCTCAGCAAAGGCACCTGTCTCACAGTAATAAATCTGGATTTTTATTAGCATCATTACTTTCCCCTGTGCAGTCAGTTTGCTCTACCTACGATGCCCACACCTCAGCAGTTTTCTGCTCAGCTGCCTCGTGTCCAAAGATTTATTTTTTTTACCTTGTTG